TATCCATGTTTATTACTCTCAACATCACTAGAAATCAAATACGTCATTACCTGATACGATGTAAAAAAAACATTTAATTAAACGTCGAACAACAAACAAACAAACAACGAGGCGGAGTAGTCGGTGCAGGGCTTTTAATTTTATCGAAAAACACGATCATCATCGTGACCGCACATTCCACCGCAGCCAAATTGCGATCTACCCCTAAGTAAAAGAGCATTAAACCACTTAGCGCTGGCGTTCACCAATATCGTTTGTGGACTGCATAAAATAAACGTTTCTAGTGGTCAGTGGTTGTGTTAAAAGGTGTAAATTGGATAATAAACTGCACCGCTACTACGATTACTGCTTCTATTTTTTAATTATTTCATATTTTTTATTATCAATTTTTGGTTATGGTATTAAAAGGAGCCCATAAATAATTGTTGGTTTTATTATTATAATTGTCTCTTTAAAGTCACATTTATGATTAAATTTTAACGTTCGAATTCGAAATCGTGTACTCTATCCCATATATTATTTCCCTACCACGGCTGCCGACGTCCAAGAGGTCTTGAGTGAGTCAGAGTTACCTGAAATAGGGAAACCAGAACCGCATTTACTTGTTATTGGAGCATTGTGAGATTTTGTTATAATGCAGTTCGATTTATTAGAGGGTGTTTATAATATTTTTATATTTTAATTTAGTGAATAGCTAATCTAAAGCATGACATATCTAATAGCCCATATCATGTATTTGGTAAGCACGAGAACTGTTCTAAATACTTTTGTACAAAGTAGGAAATGAAGAGAATACAGACTCACATACTTTGATTTTCTTTTACTATACGGAGAATGGTCGCACTGCGCAGCTTTCTGAGTGCCTTTAAAAAGGAGATAAAAAACTCTGCCATTTTGATTCCTTATTACGTGTTGCCTACATCTTGGCGCAATATTTTTAATAGGTGCGTTTTAATCATCCGCTTCTGCTTCGGAATTGTCGGTTTTCTTGTTTTAATCTGACAGGTTAAAACGACTAAACCAACAATTCCGGAAGCAGAAACGGATGATTAAAACGCACCTAATATTTTGCTTGCTGCTGTCAGTGTCAGTGAATATTATTTTTTGAGTCACAGTTTATTGCTAAAGAACCAGTTAGCTCACTCGGACCAGTTGAAAGTTCCAAAATAACATCCATTCCTGGGATAAAAATTCAGTATACGCAGAAGACTGCTGTTTTATTATAGGCGGTTGTCATATATTGTATTATCCGAGTTGCGCAGTGTATAAACTGGAAAATCGAGATCAAAAGTTCCGACGCAGAGTGAGCGATCTGATTCTTTAGCTATAAACTGTGGCATAGGAATCAAAATGGCCGCGCTCTCTGTTGGGCGTGTCGGACCTCTCTCTTGCACCGTACAGTAAAGAAAATCAAAGTTTGTGATACAGACTATACCACATACTTTGATTACTATGCAGATATTAAAATTTCAGAAGTTATTTTTACTGATCGCAATACTTTTTCTATTAATAATGAAATTTCTAAAAAACGAATTAATTGTCATGGTCTATGTATCGAAAGAATTCGACAAAAATTGTTAACTGACAAAAATAATTTATCATCAACGATATCCCGATGTAAATATTTGGAACGTGTAATTAATTTTGTGACCACCCCGTACTAAATAAAAAGTAAAAACTTGATCTAAAAAATCTTTGTTGTTGGCTTTATAATATTCTAGTTTTTTAAATTCCAACGTTATAGTCGAAAGAACGAAGCCTTTTTAAATTAATTTGATATAAAAATGTAATATTTTTCGGTAAATTTTGTTTTTTTTTTTTCGAAAGAGGTGGGATATTAAAAATAATATTTTTTAGGCGAATGTTGGAGTAAATCACATTTTACGGATTTATTAAGATTCCTAAAGTGTCACTTTTATGACCGCTTTTTATAAACAAGTTTATATATTTATCGTCTGTAATTTTGTGCAAATTTTATTACTTAACGATGAATTTTTATTCGATTATTAAAAATTTGGAACTATTCTTGCATTTAAGCCTCATAACCAGAAGTTCCTAGGCCTCAGCCGCAAAATTTCTGATTCGACCAAAAAAGATCAACATTATGGCCTTGGTATACTAATAACAATTGTATGTATATACTCACGAGTCTCATGACTATAAAGTACCTAAAAATGTAAAAAATTGGGGTCGTTCCAATAAAATTAATTTACTATTGGACCACCCTGTATACATGACAATAATTTCCGAATATTTGGCTTTGACCCCTCGGGCCTTAGAACAAATATAGTCAGGAGGGAGCATGCCATGTCCGCGTTAATTTAATCGATCTGACGGAAGTGGTAGCCATATTGTACTATGGATGACTCATCATCATATGATAAATGGTTTCTAAAATTGGTTCATAATTTTAGTGATTAAAATTTGTTAATAATTTGGATTTTTTATGTGTTAATTTAAACTTTTATCAAGCGTTTGTTTTGTAAACTTTTTAAAAAGAGTTTAGTGTTTTAGTATTTATTTAGTATTACTGTTAATTTTAAATTTTCCGCGGTAATAGACATCTTGTGGATATAACAGCACAGCTAAAGGTAGAAAGGAATAATCTACATTTCATAAGCAAGTATTTTGTTTTCTCAATTTTCAACCACATTAAAGATTTTTTAAATTTTGAATGTTTTAAATTTGTAAACAAACATGGTAAGTGCGTCTGCGATCAACTGTGCTCATAGGCGTAGTCTCATGGTTTATAGGGTATACATACTTTTATTTAAACAATTTTTTTAGACAATTTTAAGATATTTATGTGGTTGTTAAAATGAATAAATTATTGTTTAATTTAGATTTATAAATTGATTGCAAGTAAACAATTTTCAGATTTCTTAAAGATTCTAGATTTACAAATTATATAAATTAATCCCAGGTAGACAATTTTCAGATTTCCTAGTTTCTCAAAAAACAAAGTTATAGCTTGAGTTCATGCAACAAACAAATTGTGAGCCAAAATATCTTAATTTTTTGTGTTCACGCCATTTTAAAGCAGATTGTTTTAATTGAACCTCAAATCCAAGAAAAAGACTTCTGCCAACAGCTGTTCCAACAATAAAAGTGGTCCGGTTGAAGTATATAAGTAAATAAATTCTTTACTAACTATATCATGTGCCGTTTTTTTCGTATAAGAGAAGTTTATTTTATAAATGTGATGCACCCTATATAATTTATTACAAAGTTATTTATAAAAATAGAATTAATAATATCTCAAGTAAGGAAATAAGTAGCATATCGCATGCCTCAAGATACTGTCTGAGGTCCTATCTTGTTTAATTTAATTAGTCGTTTAAATACAGATGGAAATATTGTTTTTCAGACGACACAGTTATTCTGTAAAATGCAGAGAACTGAAATTGATTAAAATTAATAATAAAAACAGGTCTTATAAAATTTTTCGAATGGTTTAATTATAAAAACTTACAAACCTTTACTAAAACTTATGTTGTTCCATTATAAAGTTACAAAACGATGGCCTCTTCTTAGAGAAACAATAAAAGGTAACGTTTAGTTTCATATAAGTATTACAAAAGATATCAAATACCTTAGTGTACAAATTGACTCTCATCATAAGTGGACTAAGCATACAAATAATGCGTTGAATGTACATTTAAAAATAATCTATTTTGCAATCATTATTACTTTATAGGATCCTTTCTTGGAATGGTGTTTTACCTGCTTATGTAAAATTGTCCTGCAAAAAATATTACTAATAATATTATGTAATAAAATGATCAAAAATTCTCTTCTAAGAAATAAATATCACAGCGGTGTTTGACCTAAATATAAGTATAGGATATTTAATTTTTTTTAACGCTTATCTACAAAAAATTTATTTTTCAAACCTTAATAATTTGTAAAATGTAGATTAATAAAGACATTGTCATAATAAAGACGTAAACAAGTCACTATTTTTTTTTTAATACATTATTGCTTTGATTTTTCAAATGAAATCCCTCTATAAATTATCCCAAAAATATTTTCCTATATTTATCCCACTCAACATGCAATTTTAAAGTAAAATTTATTCACATAATGAAGGTTAATAAAAAAAAAAATACAAACTTCTCGCAAGAAAATAGCAATAAAATGAGAGAAATCGGTAATAATATGCAAATGAGAATTTATTATTTTCTTTTCAGTACGTCACTGGTAGACCGGAAACACTTGTCGATATATTCGACTTGTTCACTGTTAAAATTAGATACCATCGCGATTCCAAGGTCGTTTAGGATTCCTCCTTCCTAAGTCTCGGGCAGATATCCTAAAACTAAATCATTTTTGCATAGTTAAAGAACTGCGACAGAGATTGACATTTACGTGTTCTAGCTAAATCTCTAGAAGCAATAATTTGCTTAACATTATTATCGTTTATAAATTTGAGAAATATAACATCAAAGTTCGTCCAAGTTTTCCCATTTTTCCAAGGCCATCTTTAATAGCTTTGATTGCTCTGCCGTCAGGTCTTCTCTATCACAATTTTGGAACATTTAAGCATTTTCTTATTCTTCGATAATAACCATTAAAGAGTTTTACTAACAGAGACCTGCATTTCCTGTGCCAGGTTTTCCAACCCTGAAGCATCGTTCAATGTCTGAGTCCTTTACCTCTGATTTCATCTTATTGTTAAAAATATTAGTTTCACAATCCTCATTATTATTTTATTTCATACTATAGACCAAAATAAATTTTTTTTTGTTCATGCTTTTCATTACTTTTCATCATGGACTTAATTATTTCATCCTGCCTCAAGATAGTCGCTGCTAGCTTATTGGTTTTTTATTTAAGATTATCAATTTCCTTGTTAAGTTCTTCTTTAATAGAACTAAAAATTGTATCACTTAGCTGATTGATAACATTTTCCGAGGTCCATAGTTTATTTACAGCAGCCGTAATTACATTTATCATTATTTTTAAATAATTTACCCCAGAATAAATTTTTGTATTTTCAGCCGAAAACAAAACATCAACGTCCATACGGTTGGGAGAACAACGATTTCACATTGAATCCCCCACCCCCCTCCACCCGGATACCGTTTCGGTAGTTTACCATACCAACACGGTATTTACCCCATTACCTCACCTACTAGGATGCCTCCAAGAACTGTGCCTACAGCCGTAGAAAGACATAGAGAAGTCAAAAGGTCAGTAAAATTAACTAGAAAAAAATGCTAATTTTTTACAAAATAAAAAAATAGTAGTTTGTGCAACAAAAGTGGATATGATGGCCATATCGCACAAAGACGTAATTTGAGCACGACGCCGTAGGCGGAGTGTTCAATCGTCTGAGTGCGATGTGGACAATCCACTCGAGTTGTACAGTATATTTTTTTTACGACCCACTAACAAAAATGAACAAATAAAAAAATATTTTAGGTTATTAAGACAAAATAAATAATTTGTGACTTTTAATAATTTTAAAAATAAAAAAAAAAACGAAAAAAAAAAAGAAAAAGTTCATTTAATTTTTCCCCACTCGAGAATCGAACTCGAGTCTAATGTGTGGAAGGCAGGAACCCTGACCACAGGACCACCTACTCTTTTAATTTTGTTGCTTTAATACTCGTAATTAAATTGACTTCATTAACAAACAAATTATTTATAATTATAGACGAAATAAAAAGAGAAATGCTATTATTTATCGATTCTACACAAGAATAACCCATTTTAATGTATGTTTAATCTTAATAACTAAAAAATATACTGACATTTAGTTTAACAGAATTGTCACTTATTTAAAATTTTAAAAATAATAGCAGTCGATTGATCAAAATATGAACGGTGATTGGTGAATTTAATTTTTTTGCAGTGTTCTCACTGCCTAGAATGGATATGAAATATATTCGTTTAGTTGAAGGCAATAGCATACTGTTTCGTTTTGAAATCTGTACGTAGATAAGCTAATATCCATGTGGGTGTAGAAAAAAATGTTTTAAGTTTTGTAAGCGCATTTCAGTAATCTAAATCTATATACACATTGATTCTAAAACTCTACATTTATTTTTTAGACATGGCAGTGAAGACAATCTTTCCAGTGATTTAGATGAAACCCAAGCCTTACGCCCACTTAGTGAATTAGCTGACGACGAACACTTTTCCGATGACTCTTTAGAAGAAGAAATATTACCTCCTCCACCGCCTCCGGCTTGCAACAAAAGAGCTAGTATCGCTTGGGAAGTACCTTTAGATGATGAAGCACTTCTTACTCCAGGTACATGTTACGAAAATGTTGCTTTTTGAAAGTATTGTTTCTTTTGCCATACCGTATTTTGAAATAACATAATTATTTGTAAATTTAATGTTAAGTACCAGTAAATAGAAAACCATTTTAGTTCACTTTAATTTTTAAACCCTGAAACACCAGGTCTTTGACAGTCTTTAGAACTGTTCAAAGGTTTTCAGAGAACGTTCTTAAATAGTCTGAAGACAATTGAAGACCTTTGACAGTACAGAGTCTCCGTATGTGTCTAAGGTCTAAAGTATTGAAGTGGAAAATTCTTTGTTACCGAAATACTTCTTCTGGTATGATTGAATAATGTTGTAACCTCAGTGTTCTTAAATGTATCTGATCTAGATCTTATAAAATATCTAGTGATGGTTTCTTCAGTATTCGTGTGGTTGTTTATTGTAAATTCAGTATGTATTTTTAAGATCTGTCCGATCTGTCCAAGAGATAATTTTTAATTTAATCGTGTTCTTTTCGTTTTCTTCTATTTGCTGCCATGTTCTTGGTTTTCCTTCTTCTTTATTTTCTTGGTATTCATTTTCTACTTCTTTTTTCTATCATTTTCTTCTTTTGACTTCTTCTACTTCTTGGTTTCTTCTATCTAACATATTCAAATACCTAAATGAAACTTACCGTTTTTTAACGATTCATCTGTTTTTAGGTAGCACCAAAGTGATAGGTAGAAGAAGAAGAAAATCAGGATCGTATTCGAGTACTAGTTCAATACCCAATAGACTTAAGGAGCTTGAAGATTGGCCCGAGCCGCCACCTTGTACTACTGAAGACGAAATAACCTCCCCGTTTTCCGACTCCGATGAGCACGTAATAATACCCGCGGAACTCAGTAGTGCCAACGTGTCCGGAAACAGCACGTATATTATTAGAAGAGGTATATAAATTACTTTCTGTAATCGTCTCTCTTTCGTTCACTAGCATCGGTTCAAACTTAACCATCAAATATATTTAAAATTTTACATATGATAATAGAAGCAATAAAATGTTACTAACAAAACATTCATTTTCAGGTAACAAAGAACGCAAATCCCTTCAAGCCCTGGGCAGCTCACTAACTTCCAACTCCTCGCTGAACTCTCGTCTAAGTTCAGAAATGAGTATACCAACCAGTCGATTCAGCGGAGAACTCAGTCAGCGCCTCAGCCGAGAGCTCCACACTCCGAACTCCAGATACAGCGTCGATTTCGGAAGCCCGCATTGTAGATTAAGCCAAGAGTTCAACTCGCCTAAATCCCGATTGAGTTTAGACCTGAATAATTCTAGATTATTGAGCCAGGAACTGAGTTCGAGTCCGTCAAGGCATAGCGTGTCGAGTAGCAGATCTAGTACGCCTAGCAAGCATGATATTGAACTGAAGAAACACAGTACCACGTTCGATAACATTAAATCTTTGGTTAGAGAAGGAGTCGTGCATAATTTAGTGTCTCCAACGATAGAAACTGCTAAAGATTTCAACGCAGCCGTTTCTCCCATTGTTAGAGTCGTATCCCTACCTAGTCTTAACGCTGATGAGTTTACTCCGAAACGGGAACTCGACGTGACAGTCGAAGAGGAGGAAGAAATTGACAGTTCCCAACCTAGCGCCGAAATTTCCCCTCTGCGAAAAATAGAGCAGAACATTAGCGAATTGTTAGAAAGGCGAGATATAGAGGTAGTTCAAAATGATCAATTCGTTTTGAACGGGGTGGAGAGTTTAAACAAAGAGAAGAAGAGAAAGGCCCCGTCCAAACCGTGCCGAGAGTTCAGACATAGGAATGACCTGCAGAAATCGAGTAGCCATAATGAGATTCAGAAATCTGAAGAGTATTACAGGCAGCTTTTGCTTGAAGGTAATCTCCACATGGAAAAAGGTAGTTTGTATAAAACATAACATAACTATAGTTTATAAGTTCAATAGGTTCTAGTGACTGAACATTAGATTATTCTGATAAAAAACTTCTTTCTATATGCACCTTATCTTGTTATGCAGTCGTTTTAGTCTACTTGTTTGGCTATTATAGATTCTTGAATCAACCTTTTATTTCTTGCGCTCCAAAGCTATGCAGTCGCACAGTACATGTTTGGCTGTTTCTACTTTCTTATGATAATCGACATAATAGGGTTTACATTATAGAGACCTATTTTGTTTAGGTGTCTATGCATGAGCCCTTTTATTTCAATTGGTTCCTCCTATAAATATGTTTGAAGTGACAATTACACTAACCAATAAGAAAGGAGTTTGTGTCTCTGTTTTAATCATTGAGATAGAATATGACGATGCGAAAGTGTCCGCACCTTTGTATTACACTTTAACGTCATATGTCAAACTTGAGATAGTGTCAGTTTTGGTGAGAATACATGCCATTTTTTAAATACTTTCATTTAAATGATACAAAATCATTTTCATTCAGTCAGTCTTTAAATTAAAATTAATGACTTTAAATTAATCACAGTACGCCATTTTTATTCCACTTTCGTCACTCGAAGTGCGTCCATAGGTCATATCGCAAAATAGTGTTTATGTCGTTCTTTATTCTATCTCGATGGTTTTAATGTAAAAAGCATCCTTACAATTTTATAAGAACTAGACCTTAACCTAACAAATTTAATTATTCTATTTAAAATAAGAATGTTATATTCAACTCCAGATAAAAATTTTGTATTTTTTTCTAATATCTTGACTACGCATATTGCAGGTGATTGTTGATGTGTTTTAAATAACCACGATATGTAATGTTATAGTTATAAATTAGGAATTCTTTAAAAATTTCAAAAACAGAAAGAGATAGGTGTAGGAAACATTACAGAAACTTTACTTAATTTTTTCGGTGGAATCAAAAAACATCATTAAATATAAAGTCTTCCATTTAAGAAACAAAACTTTGATATAAATTCTTTTTTTTATCACCCTGTATAATCCAAATAATTTTTAATATGTAGTGTTAATGACCATGTATATCCTTGTTAAGAAAAAATTAAATTGTAGTGTAACCAACTGAAATAAAGAGAGACAACTTAACTAATATCTCTCTCTCTTTTATAAAAGTATGATAAATAAAGTGGCGGCGTGATCGACTATGAAGTGACTAGGACACCACGAGTGACAGACTGAAAGATTCGTTATCTATTGGCTACTCACGTGTTATTGAGGGAGTGGTTAAGGTTAAAAGAAAATATCTATTGATTTATATCTAATCTTTATTGAAAATATTAAAGATGACAGAATCAGAAAGTAAAAATTTATAAGTAGATAAAATATAATTATAAAGATTAAATATAGGTCTGGTTCGGTGCAATAAAAAAAATAATTAATTTATCAAATGAGGGGAAAGAACCAGCAAGAAAACCCCAAAGTTATAATAAATACAATAAAACCAATCAAACGTCAATTTGGATACAAATGACAAATTAAGTGTATATATATATAAAAACACATTTAATTACTTGATGATTTAGTTAAACACAGAAAAATATATGAAATAATATTCAATTTGTGTTAAACACAGGAAAATATATGAAATAATATTTAAATTTAGTTAAACACAGGAAAATATATGAAATAATATTCAATACATTATATAAAAAACAATATCTAATACTGCAAGGCAAAAATAAAATAAATATTTTAAGAACAATAACTCATCAGATAACAAACATTGAGCATTACTAGGTTCAAACACACTCGATGCAAAACTTAAGAAGGGTTAATAGGGACAAGGTAATGGGGAAGCTATACAGCTTTACTACCCACCTATGAGTTGAATATTCTGGTGACAAAATAGGGTAAGTTACCGAGACACCTATCCCGATGTTGTCCCAGCCACGGGCGAAAATGTTAGTATCAATCAACAAGGCATTTTATACTTTTAACTTAGATCTGCCAATGCTGTGAATATCTGATGTTAGAAAAACACATAATTTACTAATATAATATTACTTTTCCCTTGCCGAACTTTAAAAATGACTAAAAAAAAAATAATCTCAAAGTCAAATAAAAATTATAGCAAACTTTCCTTGGTATAACTACAAAATATCAATAAACTTCAAAAATATTTAAATTAAAATATTAAAAGGATGCTATTTTTCACTGATTTAGATAGTAAAATAAGTCATAAAAGCAAATAAACTCGTTATTGGAATGCAAGCAATTTTTTATGTCAAGAAAAAGCATGAAATTACTTATAACAGTGAAATTCAAATCTAAATAGTGAACCATCAACTAGTTAAATAATATAAAAGTAATTGAAACATAATAATTGATTTAAAAAGGCACTTACATTTTTATCACAAATAAAACTAACAAAAACCAAAACCTTTTAACAATGACGGACATTCCATTCTCTCTACGTTCAATCCCCGACATTCAATCATTAATTCCCGTTCCTATGACGATGACTCTCTGCTTCTGTTCCAGCGCATGCACGACTTTGGTTCCTGGAATTTACCGCGGTCAAAAGCGATAGAATAGGTGGACGCTTTATGTTGCCATTCAACGGGGACGGAATTAAATACGATCCCTTTCAAAATGTCAAGCAGTTTTCCTTATAGAGACCGACACCTTGTAAAGGGCGTTTTTTAAGGATGATAGAACTTGAAACTTTAAAAAAATATTAAAGAAAATATTTTCTGATTAAAAAAGTAATATCATTTTAAAAAACAATCTATTGCACCTAAGGCCTATTTATTTTGGTTAATTTTACTCATTTTCGAAACTCTATGTATTTATTAATACATCAAAGAAAAACAAATAAACTATATGGTTAAAAATAATGCGGCAAAATATTTAACAGTCTCCCCAGATATATTAAAACAATTAATGAATTGACAGAAGTCAAGAAAGTGTTATTTATATATTTAGTTAACAGAGAACCATATAATCTAAATGAGTTTTTGATGACCTAAGACAATATTGTTCATGTATTTTGTTTGACTCTATTTCGTTTTATGTATCTGTAACATACTCCTGAAATAAAGAACTATTATTATTATTATAAAGAAAGACCACGTAACGGTAGAAAAAATATCGATTGATTGATGAAACAATAGCGTCTCGTGCACTCGATTAAGGTACCATTTCGGAACGCGCGACAGACGACAACAGACGCGACGACAAAGGAGACAGATGCATTTACGTTACACTTCACACATTTTGGAAGCAAGGAGACAGGCGACACGACAACCGTAGACGAAAATTCGAGGGAACTATCAGTGTTGCCAGACCTACTGTTTTAAAGTAGATTCACTGTTTTTGTCTCTGTTCTACTGTTTTCACCAACTTAACAAATTTTGTTTTAAATTTATTAAGTTTGCCTCATTCTTTAGCAAATGGTCAAAGACTATTTTCTCTAGTAAATTTGCTAAGGTAAAATCAGCGTAATAAGCATCCACTACTGTAGGTTTGCTCCATAAAAAAACTCAAGATAATCATTATGTTTTTATTTAAAATACAACAAATAAGAAATAGAGCATCATAAAAATAACATGCATGCCAAACACAACGTATTTGAATTATCTGATTCAGACAGAAATACCTATTATTTTTTATTGGTTTTTTTTTGTTTTCGGTCGTTAAGTATATATTAAAAATTTTATTATTTGTTTGTATTCTTCGTTTACTTTCTATTTTGGGTAGAAAAATGTTTATTTTTCTTATATACTTCTTTTATTTACTATACACTGCAAATTATAATTGAATCGGTGAGTGAAAGAACAATACATATCCAAAATGACCATTTTGAGAAAAACAAAAAAAACGTTTTAAAGGAGAACTATGGGTTATTCGGCCAAATTATGTATTGTGAAGTTATAGAATTTTTGTTAACCGATAATAATACGTACATAAATTTAAAAATAAAATTATGCAAAAAATTATATTTGAAAAAATGACTTGCAGTTATACTGTTCTTTCACTCAATTTAAAAAAAAAATGCTTTAAATTTTTTTTGTAGCTTTATTGATTATTATTTAACAAACTTATTTGTAATTTCTTTATCAGAATCTTCATTTTTGACTTTCCCAGAAATAATATATGTTAGTAAAACTCTAGGATTTCATCACAAAAGTAGAATAAAAGTATCTTTATATTGACCATCTTCTTTACGTTAATAGGGAAAACTTCTGAGTATGACTTTTCTAATGGCTAGCATACACGTAACGGTCTACCAGAGAGGTCTACCTGTGCAGGTGTGCCTACGCAGATCGGCTTCATGTCGTAGCGTGTATGTCTACCTGTGCAGGCACACCTGCACAGAGAGACCGTAGCGTGTATGCCCGCCATAAGGGTAACTGCAGATTGGCATTAGGTTTGATCAGCCTAATGCGCTCCACACATAAAAGTGTGCGAGACAAAACCGCCTATGAAGGCACTTGTAGTAACATATCCAGGAGTTTTACCAGTGTATGTAAACTGGTTGTACTGTGAAATGACAAAATTAGCTTTATGTTCATCTACTGATTTAGAAGTTTTTTTTTATCAAATTGCGACCACCAGTTTTTGAAATCTGCATCAAATTTGTCTACGAAACGACATGGCTACGGAGTGAACAAACAGTACATTCGCCGTACTTGTACTGTTCTTTCATTCAGCCGAAAATTGAACAAGGGCCCATCGCTCGTATGATGTTGGTCAGTGTATTATTCTTTCGCTATGTGATAGGCCTATGAATTTTAAACAATTTGCCTATCTCAGTTAAAATTACCGTTTTTGGCACTTGTATTGTTCTTTCACTCACCGATTTAATTATTTCCCCCTGTATTAAAATCTACTGTACAGATCTAAGGTTTTTTTTTTCACCCATACTGTTCCAGCCGATTTTCATCTGGCAACACTGCCCAGGATAGAACTTTGCAACTACCGTTTCTATAAAATATCGACTAATCACCTCGAAATACAAGCGATGACTAAGGGAGATAGGCAGCAAACGCAACACCAAGACCGATCTATTTGTCGTTGACTGCTGTCTGTCGGACTTGTCGCGCCTTGCCAAATGTATTTCATATAATTGCATGTGTTCAGACGTCGGTCTCCTTTGCCGTCTTGTCCTCTGTCGTCTGTCGCGCCTTCCGAAATGGTACCTTCATCGGGATCTGGCGGTAGCACTCGACCAGGTTCCGACGTTGTTCATCGGTGGTATAAATCGCAGGTGGATAGGGTTGCCGGTTTTCCTGTGATTATCGATCTCCAACATAGCTACCTCCCTTGAAAGTTATCAGCTTTAAAGAGTTACTGGTTTGGAAGGATGCAGAACTTAACAGCAGGACGATGAAAGGTACCTCTTGTTGCTTTGACCTCAGCATTTTTTATGATACCATCACTATAAGTCAAGGTCTCTTCAATCTGATTATTACTTGAACTCTTCCATTTACTTCTAGTCTGCAATTCAGATATGTATTTTGAAGACCATCTCTTCCAGAATTTTCAGGAAGGTCTAATAGATTATTTTCTGGCAATGAAGTTAATTTTTCACCTATCAGGAAGAGCGTGGGAGTGAAAGGACCAGGATCATTGGAATCATTTGATAGGGCACATAGAGAAAATAATCTAGGGGCGTCATATCACAGGACCTGGGTGGATAGTTAACACATCCATTTATCGAAATTAATTCGTCTTCTATGCGTTTGGAGAACCTATGACTGACTTTCAAAGTAAATTTAAAGAATTTAGTAGCTTTGTTCAAGCGTAAATCTATTCATGATGATTTGCCAAAGTATACTGAAAATAAATTTTATAAACAGTGTCAGAATGACAGTTCAGTCTGACAGTACTTGTCATGTAAAGTTCTATCGTTCTTAAAAAACACCCTTTATTATACTGACAAATAGTAAATTCATTTTGCTCTGGATTACAGCACAATCAAATTTTCGTTTGAAATCGAAAACAGTGGGAGATTAAGTGTTGTTTTGAGGGCCTAAAAGGTAAAATTCCAAATTGGTGTCCTCCACCCGCTAGGCCAATTTCGCTATATTAACAAAAAATTGGAATTGATTTATTTCAGTTTCTACTGATCTCAGGAAAAAGTGTAAAAACAAACAATGTAGATCAAAAAATTACAAAATGTCTGTCCTCCGAACTCTCTGTAGTTTGTTCTCAAAAAGATAGAGAGCGCCGAAAATACCAAAAATATTTTTTTTTACTTTCAAAAAGTGATTTTAACTAAAAACTTTAAATATAAAAGTTTTCTATAATTACAATTTATTATTTTACGAAATTTTTATTGCAGTAAGAGCCGATTTTTTAACCTCTGAGTAAAGTTACATGTAGGTTTATTTGACAGATTAACACACAATAGCCCTATAGTTTATTTGGCAAGTAGTTACTTTGAACTTTACTCAGAGATGAAAAGATTGGCCCTAAGTGTTTTAGCGATAAGTACCTAGGTTTAGTAGGTTTAGTAAGGTTTAGTACCTAGGTTTAGTCACTTTCTTGTCTATACATCCAGTATAATAACTTATTTCTAATCAATAATTGTAATTGAACAGGTGGTGTTCCGTTTCCTAAACGAAACGGCATCCAGAAATCCGAAAGCGCCAAAGAAATGCTGATCGCCCATAGAGAACCGCGTCCTCTTCCGACTTCCACCTCGGCCGATTTTCCCGTACGAGTAGAAGTTCTTAGCCATGACTTTCCTCCGCTTCCTCCGTCGCCGGTGGAGGAAGACGAAGACGAGTACACCGAGATTCTGCATCCCGTGCACAAGAGCAGAGCGGACACGCTGCCTAATAGTAACGAGCCACCCGCAGTGCCTGCCCATAAAGAACCCGGATCGAATAGCCTTAAGACTCGGTCTATGGATGTTAATTACAGTAGAGGTGAGTTTAAGAAAAATTATTACTGTTCATCAAATGTTTTAACAGCATACGCTTGATGCTACTGTGCGTTGAACATGGTCGGCACCATCCCTTCTACATCCTAACGACACTCTACGATTATAGGCCAATATAATTAGTTCTAATACTTTTTAAACTTAGTGGTAACAAGTAAATCGAAACTAGCCGATAAAGGGTTGCCTACTTTGTTACAATGGCAAAATACTAAGTTAATTAATTACTAGACGACCAAAAATATAACATAGCTGCAAATTTGATATCATTTTCAATTCAATATTAAAGATCTGGGGCTGAATTTGCAACCACTTATGACTTCGGCATAATAATTAATTGCTGTTAACAGTATTTGATATAAACCAAAATATAAACATTCCTGAAAAATCACATTATACAAATCTCTCCGATAATGGCATGATGCTTTTTGTTTCGTTATTTTAATCTAAAAATACTTGGGCAAAACTGTAACATATATAAATATTCATTGCAAATGACCCCATTCGTAAGTTAAGCTTCGGAGCCGCGAGTACCGTACCATTTGACGTAATTTGGAAGTAGAAACCGCCAAGGATCCATATCTGGCTTTCCGGACATGGGAGACATCCTTACGGGCCGAACGCGGTCCATATTTGGCTAGCATGGCATGGGAGGCATCCTTATGGACCGAGCTATATATAGATATATGAACGCGACTACAATGTAATGAGCTGCAGACATTCGGTTGGGTTGGCATGCCCTACCTATATGCCGAAGCTGCACCCATATATCGGGCCGAGTCCGGCATTAGGCAAGCCTCCTTCGGCCCAGTTACGGTGCCGATTAACTGTGTTTATTGGGAGACCAATTAGCAATAATCAATATTTTGCAAATTTTTCACAATCAAATTAAAATTAACATTTCTCTAAATTTTATGTTAAACTCGATAGATCAGGGATAATGTTTGTTCAAATTTGCAAGTCCGCAAAAAATGGCAAATTATCGTACACATTTTTTTATAAATTTATGTTGCAAAATTGTCGCAACATTTTTCCAACATGCATGCAGAAATGAAATTAAATGGTCACTTCAACTCGAAAGTGGGAAATATTTGCTTTCCATATTTTCTTGCAATCATAACAACGCCGTTTTGTCTGACAATTTTTTTCTTTCCCTCCAATCAGGCTTGGGTCCTGCTACTGGCTCCCCTTAATTAGGCATGGGATCCAGTCTGCTTGCCCTCCCCTTGGAATTAGCATGGCGGCACTGAGGCGCATATGTATTGTGCCACCATTTGGATGCGCTACTCCTTCATTCATCATACATTCATTCACCATCAATCATTTCACGTCGTCGATGGTTAACCGCTAGTTGGCTAAATCCAGCGGTTACCCATCCTAGACGTGACCAAGACATCACTACTTAACTGCCGAGAGAACGTGAATACACACTAGTCTCGCAGCTAGCCATTGAGACATATTTGAACAATTACTCCCCTATACGAGTAGCTGTACCAGTATTCGACCTTTGACGAGTCTTCACCTCATTTGCAAAACGTTAAAACTATTCTGGAGCCTATTCATCTGGTATAATGTACTCCTAAATTTGGTACACGACTAACAGAAGACGAAGTTGTCGTTTAGGACAAAACAAAAAGTCTACAGTCGCCGAATATACAATATCCAACGTAACACAAGATCCTTTTCGAAAACACCGACCTAGTAGCAAAATCAAGACATTACTCGATCAGATTCTACTTGGAGACTATAGAAATACACAAACATGAAAAGAACATCAATAGAAAGAAAAAAACATTACCTAGGATTTGGCACACGTCATTAAAATACGCGAAAATAAAACCGCCTAATATCAGTGCCGCAAAAAAAACAGCGCGAAGACACGCATATAAATACCACACTCGGAGCAATTCATCTTAAATCTCATCTCCCAAAACGACCGAACCCCCCTCACTACCACATTCACCCTCCAAAACATTCAATATGCCTACCAGGCAGGGAAAAACACGGCCTCCAGGCCTGATTCCATACATAGAAGAACGCTGAAGCATCTTCCTGAAACCATCTTTCCCATCCTCACCTTTCTCCTAAACTCCTGTCTCTCCCTCTCCTATTTTTCACTTACCTGGAAATCCGCTAACACCATTTTGATCTCCAAACCAGACAAGGACCTAAAATCTGTAAATTCATACAGGTCCATCTCTCTCATATCAGTCCTAGGGAAACTCCTCGAGCTTCTGCTCAAGGAAAGAATCTAGGAATTTTGTGAAGAAAGAAACATCATTCCTCAATTCAAACATGGTTTCAGACCTCACCACTCTACACAGGACGCAATCTCCTCCCTTCGCACTACTGCGGTCACCACAGTAAATTCCCAACAAATTTTATCTGCCGTTCTCTTAGATGTTCAAAAAGCCTTCGAGCAAGTCTGGCACGCCGGACTAGTCAAAAAGTTTATGAACATAGGTCTCCCACCATAATCTCCAAACCCATACACTCCTACGTCACCGACAGAAAAATCACCGTCAAAGTTGGAAACTCCCTGTCAGACACATTTACTCCACTTGCGGGGATCCCACAGGGCTCCGTTCTAGCCCCTCTCCTTTACCTCATATTCAATTACGACATCCCTCCTCCACACCATCCATCGTCCAAATGCCTCCTATACGCCGACGATACAGCTCTACTCTCGGTAGTCAAAAATTCTGACCAACTAAATACTCGAACCCAAAATGTGTTAAACCAGTATTCTCTCTGGTGTAGCAAATTAAATCCATAAAACATCCAAATTCTCAAAGAACCTCCCAGAACCCCCAACTCGTCAATGTAAATCTCCTGTGGGTCAGTCTCGCTCAACAGATCGAAGTTGGACTATTTAGGAGTACGATTCTCTCGTACACTCAACTGATCCTCTGATGTCCAACGCTCTCTTGATAAGATAACATCCTTTTTCACACACATAATTCTTTTATCCGCCCCATTGCCGAGTACAGAGCTGTACCCTACGGCGTACTTCCCACACACCTGGCCCACAAATTCAAGTGTGTATTAGTTATTAGAGATATACAATTTATATGCACTCCATGTGACATTCCGAATGAATAAGTCTTTTATCGTTTCTGAACGGCCACCAAATTATTTGGACCAATTCAATGCGCAGGCGTTGATTTCGTACAGGTTTCTTGACGGTACCAAAATATATGTTGGAACGCTTATTGAACAGTAAGTTGTACCGTTTTTTTTTTCTAACCTTACTTTAGTTCGATACCAGACACAATAATTAAGAAAAATCTGCAGTTTGTACGTGCTGTCAGCTGATAAATTTTCAAATGTGCATGTCAGTCCAGGCGGTTCCTGCTTTTAATCATCTATCGAAAAGATTGTACAAAAACCAATTCATGAATGGTCCGAAGTTTTGCTAGGTTCATCTGAGGAGTTATTTTTTGTTGGAATGTGTCTAACTGACGATTTTTTCGCTCTGTTGGAACAAACCTATATATCAACATTATATCCTGCATTATGCCCCGGAGAGCTAATTGAAATAGTCCATTTTTTTAATATTCCCCACTGGGTTTTTCTAACAGCAAAATATGATCCTAAAATTCAGAAATTCTGCCATCCAGAACAATCTGATACTATCATTATGTCTCATCCCAACTAACAAAGTAGCTTTATAATTTTTAGTTTACAAGACTATTATATTTTATTGATATTATATTGCTGTTTCTGGAATGCTAATTTATTGTACTACAGTTGCAGAAATCACTATTTTCTTCTCTGAAACTAAATAGTTATATAAATTAGTTTTTACAATATTCTTACAGCAAAATTATAAAATAGTTTTCACGATAACTATGAAATTGTTACATAAACATTTATACAACTGTTCTATACAATATTTCAGCTTATAAAATAAAATTGCTTTATAGTTATTCTATATTATTGTTCTGGATTACCTTTACAACTTTTTGGTCATACAAATATAACTGTTTCTTAACCTCATAATAGCGCTTTAAAAAATAGTTATATAAATATTTGTGTGAGATAAACTCTAAAATAACTGTATTATATTGTCGAAATACACTATTACAAATCAGAAAACTGTATAGCAATTATTTTAGTTAAGAATAGTATTATCCCTTTAAAAATATTTATAAAAAAAATAAAGCAACTACTATGTTTGTTCAACTACTTTCCATACCAATTGTATGATCTGAAAATGTCAGATTTAAATAGTGAAGAAATATAAAAAATAAGTGGTACCTGCTTTTCAGAGAACAGTAAAAAATATTAGTAAAACATTTTGATGGTTTGTCTAGACACTCAAAAAAACAAACTATCATTTAGCCAGATAATAATTAGGTATGTTCTGAATAATCATGCCCCAATACTAAAAGAAAGCCATATTTTTGGCGATGTCCATGTTAAACTTGCTTATTCTCGTAATACTAAAAATTATGCTTGCTCTATAAAGCTGTAGAAACAAATGTAATCATTTCAATTATCAAATACTTAAATCGGAAACGATTTAGAAAGGTTATGTTATATTTTGTCATATAGTGCAGCAATATGAAACTATTATACAACAAACCATGATGAACTTGTTTTGTAGAAATGAGTAATACAACTTAATTATTGTATTACAGCTGTTTTTACTACAATAATATTTTATAATTATGATTCAGTCTTAAAATAACTTTCTAATACCTCTGAATAGCCGCCATATTTAACAAAAACCTAAGACAGTTTCAAAGCTAAATCTACTGTCGGTTTTACTAGTATTTAAGACAAAACCAATGTTAATTAAAGATTTTAATCATTAATAGTATTAGCATAATCTTATTACTAAAAAAAAATCAAATTGCATAAATTTAATTTTTGTTTCACACTGAAAAAGTATTAGAAATATGAATCAAACTCGAGGCGCTTAAAAATTTAGTATTGTATGTGCTATATAATTAACAGTAATTCTTGCTGGGCATCCAAAAACGACTTTATTGTAGGTCATACATTATGTCTAAACCGCGTTATAGATCTCTCTTAAGTATATACTGCCATTTTACTAATATCGCCTTGAATTTACTTTTATGACAAATATAGAATTAATTTGTTTTCACCAGATACATTTAAAAAACTAAAATGTTACTGATTTTGATATGCAACCTAACCTCAAAATTGAAAATTTATAAAACAGTTATAAAAGTTTAAAAAAACATTTGTTTAAAGTCTGTGTAAATGTGTAGTAACTGTTCGGTAACTGCATTCAACAAATCTTATAGAATTTACAAAAGAACCAAATAGTTCTGTAATTCTGCGCCCATTTTGTGTTTATTACTGTTGAAAGAATGTTCCGGAAATGTTCTTAGCTAATATTCTATTTTATAAATTTTGTTCTGTAAACATTTTTTCAGCTTTTATAAAATATCAAATTGCTACTTGGGATGCCTCTATCAAGTGTTATAAATTTGCAATTTTCATTTGTTTTTAGGTCGTAGAACAACCTTCTTTACTTCCTCAAGTAGAAACAACATTCCTTCAGAACGTAGAACGTTACCAACGGAATTTCAAGAGAAGCGAAGACCGTTCCAAAAGCGAGCATCCCAGCAAAGTCCGCAGGACGAGCATCACTTACAGACTTCCTGCAGTTTACCAGAAACGCCGATTTTCGCCAGAGGTTGTGATATACCTAGGACTCCTCACAGAAGAGCCCCTGATGTGCCGGGTAATCAGACGGCGCCTAGACAAAGTAACACGATAGGTAAGTTTAAAATGAAATAAGTTACTAGAGACGCTTGTGAATCATTTGTAGAAATAAATCGCAAATTTTGTGTTCATGATTGAAAGGGTGTGCAAATATTAATTTTATCTACGATATTATTCTAGTAAGGTTAGTCATTTAATCCGTTTATTATTTGAATTTAAAATTGAAAAACATTTCCATCATTAGAAGCCTTAGACGATATATTTTTGGTTCATTGTTAAAATATTTGTACAACCTTACAAAAACATCTAACTTTTATCAAATCACTGTAATTTTTAACGCTATATAAATTGCAATTATCATGGTGGAAGAGCATAGTTTACATTTTATTGGGTATTTCCTCTTTTCTCCGCATGTCTAGCATTCATATGACGTTCTCAAAAATTCCTCAACTAAATATATAACTACCAGTAATAATTCTCTAATCGACAAATTAAAAAAAATCATAAAACATTAATCAACATACTAAACCCATTTCAAGCAGTTTGCAAATGGTAACAAAAACAATCTGTACCTCAAAATCGTATATGACAACATCGGATACTATATCATCGTTTTCCTTAATGAGCGAATAGAAATCACGGAGTTCTAAATCTGGTCATTACAAAGAGTGCTGAACCAATTTAAAATTCAATGCGCGTAATTGAATCCTTACGACAAACAAATTTGTAAACTATCTGTCTCTTGTCATTATTCTTTCTTTAATCCAGAACACTCCCGTTCTTCAGAGTGTCGCTACTATTCACAGGCACCGACTACGGGGACCAGGACTCTGGTAAAAGGTGAACATGAAAAAATACCATTTAAAATAAATCGATATTTTCCCAAGCGATAATTTTTTAATCATAATTGTATTTCGGAGAGAGATGAGGACTTTTTCTTATAACCCAAATACGGTTCCTAGAAATAAACAAAAGTTTAAGATCAGTCAATCTTATGTCTCTAAAGTAGGTCCATTTCTTCTATATCTTCGTTCGATATACAAAGTAGATAAGAAATTAATAAATTTGTATTGATGGCGGATTAAATCCATCTCTCTTTTATTTCCATGAACGTGAATATTAAACGGTGCTTACATAAGGAAGATAAAATAAACTGTCAAAAAATAGCTGCTACATATAGCTATTAAGTCGGCAGAGGCAGAGGCAGATTCTGAATAAAACATATTTTTAATTACTAAAACTAAAATCTCTTTAAAATATTAACAAAATAATGCTAATATATAATAGTACATTTTCACAATATTCATATTATATAATAGGTTTGTTCCAGCAAAAGATCAGACCTTTACTGAGTATACTCAAAGCTATTTTACCATTAGATTAGATTTAATTAGGATTGTGGACCATGTGACCTCCCCCACCTCGACCTTTTCAGATCTATTGTGGATATCCTTTAATCGTTGTTTAGAGTAACTTGTCTAGTTTGGTATTTTGTAGTAGATGCCATAGACCAGGAACTAGATCTCCATCGTAGCTAGTTTCCCTTGGTTTTTCTTCTCAAAGTGTAAGGAATCTCTATGAATCTCTATGACTATTTATAACGACGATTCACCTTGATAATCCTTTTACTTATGTTTGTTTGATCAAAGCGATGCCTGAAAAACTATATTTTTATTATTTAATGTTTATATCTGTATTTTATAGTTTTTATTTTATTTTATATGTATCTATATGTGTATCATTAGAGTTAACTCCTAATTTATTGTATATTTATTTATTTGTCAACAAGATTTTACCCTTTTACAATGCGCTTGTTCAGTGTCATTTTGGTTCCACTGACATTTAATTCTAACCAAACTTTTAACAAAAACATCAATAAATTTGACATATACGTTTTTACTGTTTTAAGTTTATTTTTAATTATTGTTTACAAGTCATAAAAAATAGTTTAAAGGTATGTAATTTGTAACTAAACAATTGTATATTTGATACATGTTATCTATTTACTTTAGGAATATATTTATAAAAGTGAAAAGACGATATAATTTAGGTAAACAAAACGAAAAAAACGAACTCAAAAAATCTACTGTCACTTTAATTGTCAGTGGAACCATAATTACATAATCACTGAACTAGCGCATACCCTGGTAATAGGCCTACTAGTACTCTCGAATTTCCTATTGTGGCTTACTAGATATTCGGTGAATTTTGGCGATGGTCCTTTTAAGAACTATTTAGCCTGTCTCTGTCTTTGTGATTTTTTCCACCATTCCTGAGATCTTTTAAACATCCACTGTTTTGTACATGTTCTGATAGCTGTCTTTGTGACGCCACAAAAGGGATCTGATGCAATAAGAGCCTTTGAGGCTCCTTCTCTCGGGCTAGTAAATCAGCATCTTCGTTGTCCTCCGTGGCCTGGTACCCAGGCTAAGGTTAGTCTGTTTTGACTACCTAACTTTATTAGGGCTTCTAAGCAGTTCCATTCAAGCTTGTAGTGTACCTGTATGGAAATGAGTAGTTTTAACGTCGCTTGACTGTCTAAGTATATGACAATTGTTTTTCCCATTTATTTTGTCTTAATACCACTCTTTCATATTGATGTATTGCTGCTATTTCTGCCTGAAATACCGTCGTATTTTTACCTAAACTCAGTGACATTCTTGTCTTTGCCTTGGTACTATATATACCTATTCTTGAACCTTCATGGGTTTTGGAATCCTCCTGTCCACGCTTCCCTATCTGGTATAGTTAATTATTTTATACTGGTTTTGAAAGCTATATTTTGGAAGCATTTCGTCTGAAGGCATTCCCATTGTTTGGTCGGTCTCCAACTCTTTATGGGTGATGTACCTTTGTGAAATGTGTACGTGACAGAAGAATGTAGAAGCTCGAAGAGCCAGCCCTCCTACCGTTAGGCATTGGTCAATTGTTACCCGCTATCTAGCCAAACCACTCTTAGGTGAACACATTCTAACTCTGCACTCCTTAAAATTAGCGGGGTCCGAACCTCTATTTTTTTCTTTATTTTTATTTACAATCAAAGATTTTATCTATTTTGGTTAAAGGTTGTATAAAATAGAGGAGGTAAACACATAGAATTATGCAAGATTCTAACTACCCGGTGACTAAAGAGTAAGAAACAGAGCCAGTTTCCAAATATTGTTACTCCCTGGGGTCGTTGTTTTGTTTTATCATGTCCGCCTATTCATCAACTAAGCTGACCAGGTTTTTGTCCATAAGGTCTATGTCGGAGAGGCTAGCCGCGAGCTTAGTGTTCATCCACATACTCGCAACAGTTAAGCGTAATCTCTCTGGTCACGTCGTGGATGAGTGACGACTGGGATGTATCACGATGGGGCTCATCCGACCAGTGGTTAACCATCGACGACGTGGAATTAATAACGATGAATGAGGGAGGGAATTGGTGAATGAGAAAGTAGTAAGACCTTCAAATGGTGGTACAATAAGCCACAAGCTGCAGTACCGCCAAGCTATAGACGGATTAGGGTGTAGCACGGAAGATCCAAAAGGTGTTAAAAAAAGGGTCTATGGGTATATGTCGGGTGGTAAATAGTCGAGTCCTTTGTCGTTGAGTCAACGTCTAAGTGTTGCCCCAGTGCAATCGTATATGATGTGGTTAGCGTCTTCTGTCACATTGTCTATGCCCTGCAAATTAATTATGTGTATGTAGGCGTTCACGTTACCGTGTCCTGTTAGTATTTGTATGGCTTTTCTATTTAGTCATAGATGTGTCTTAGATTGGCCTGTTCTGCCATTGTCCCATGTATCTTGCCATATTGCCATCGTCTTATCGTGTCTTTTTTTAAGTATTAACGTTTTACGCTGTATTGTATTGTTTCTGTCGGGTGTTCGTGTACCTCGTTAAATAGTCTGTGAGCTCTTTTTATGTTCGAAGGTAATGAATGTTATATCGTTTCGCTAAGTGTGTATGTTTTCGTATTTCTGTCATAATTTTTTTCTTATGTTACTTTTTCAAGATTGACGATCGCATTTGTCGAGTCAGTGCCTTATTTGTATGTTTTTTATCCAGAAGATCACGAGATTGTTTATTATGTGTTTTATCGCTTGTGATATACCCAAAATTTCCATTGTGTCGATGTCTTTATCTGTGTTTATTTTTGTCTTAATGTCAGTGTAGGTATAGTCATTGTAGATGTAAAGTGCTATAGTTTTAGACTTTCCCCTAATGCTG